ATTTTTTTTATAAATTTTTTAACTTCTTATCTAATTTGATATTTATTTATTATAATTATTTATAAATTAAATTTAATATTTTTAAAATAAAATCATAAAAAATATTATGCTACAATCTTAATTATTTATATATTTAAAATATCTATTTATAAAATTTTTAAATATGATTTATATATTTAAATATTATATACTATATTTATAATTTATTATAATATATAATAAATATTTAATATGTGTATTGCATAGACTAAAATACTAATATAATATAAAATTCAACATAAATTGATGGAGAAATTACACTTACCTCTCCTGAGATTTATATAAAGGTAACAAAAATGATATAAAAAAATAGAAAAAATTTTGATTAAAAAATACAAAAGTAACAAACGACTTAATCTTCTTAAATAAGGTCTTGAATTATAGTTTTATGGATAAAAAAAATGTAATTTAAAAATATTTTACTAAATATTTTTTAACAAAAATTATTTAAATATTTTGTACTAATAATATGATTATTCGAAGAAGAAATAAAAACAGACACTACTTTAACATCACTTTCTTATTGAATTGAAGAACATTTCGAATGTCATGAAGAATAAGAAACACAACAAACTGACAATAATATATTTATTTATATATAAACCTATTTCTAAAGCCACGAAGAATAAGCAACAAAAATGTGATTTTAAAATTGGGGTGAAACCAAACTTTCATGATAAGTTTGTACATCGCACCAACGGTGATCCCCACTAAGAATAGTATAGTCCAAGCTACCAGCATTTGAGTAAAACAAAACTAATTGGGAATCAGCATGTACTTGAATTAGGACCATACCATTTTCTGAAATGCACAATGGTACATGCCGGTAGTAAAGCCATGTCCAAGAACTCAAAGGGGAAAACACTTGAAAGATGGAGATGGACATCAATTTAGTCCAAGAATCTTGAACACCATACTCCTTCATTTGCCATAAACCCCAATCATCTGTATGGTCGTTATACATGTTAACACAAAGGCAGTTGCTGAGGAGAAATAGCTCAGGAGCACGACAAGCAAGAGAACCCACATGAGGAAGCAACACTTCACCATAAGTCTCAGTCACCAAATCAAGGGAAATAATAAACCATCTAGGCACATCATAAGTTACCCAATTAAGAGTGCCAGTGCCACTCACAAATATCCCATTTTCCTTAGTGCCATCACATGGGAAATTCTGAATCACCTTAGAACAATTTGTTGCATTTACACCAAAGGTATATATTATGGTCACAGCAGGTTGAGAGTATGCGAAGAATATGAACAATTTGTACTTGTCATTCACATGATCATAGCCAAAACCATGGTAAGTAATATAGCGGCAACCAGCATCACTATGTGGTGTAAATTTTTTGGATGCGATTCCGATGGAGGGGTTCCACAATTGGACATAGCCTTTAAGAAAATATTCCACACAGATTAAGCCATGGCAGGAACCTAGAATGCGGAACATGGCTCTCATCTGGATAAAATGGGGTTCAGCTTGGGTTGATGGGTTTTGGAGCAGAGACTGGAGAGAGAAAGATGCAATTTTGAAAGGGTAATCAGAGTTTGGAGAGATCAATCGTTGGTGGGTCATGTGGGTGGAGGTGCGAAGGAGGTGTTCCTTGACGAATTGGGGATGAGAAATTAGGGTTTTCCATGATTTGCATACACATTTGAATTCCAGAAGGGATTTCACTGTAACCCTAACCAAGATCTCCCAGATCAGTTCATCTGGCAATCGAGGGGTTCGCACCTTACCACTGCTTTTCCTCCCCCATTAGAGAATTTGTGTTTAATAAAAAATGTGAGCTCACTATGATTCTCAATGCAAATAGTGTACCACCATTGCTGCATATATATATATACCCATTATCAATTAAAAGATAAATTGCTGCATATGGTATCACTATATATTTTAAATTGTATCATAATTTTATATTATCTTGTTTATGCCAAATTATCAAAATTAAACAAGTTAATCATGTTTTTAGTATATTGTAAATATATATAAAATCAATTTTGATGAGATATCAATTAATTTTAAATTAATATAACATTTTATGTATAATATATCATCTAATTGAATTCAAATAAATTTTTTTGTTAAAATTATAAGTTGTGTAGAGAGGACAATAAAAATATACCCATTCTAATTGGCATAAAAAATAATTTCATTAATTATTTATATATAACATATTATTTATTATATATGTTATATCTATTATTATATTATAAAAAGAAGATTTTGTTGCGTAAGGAGATGTTATGTGATAATATTTTTTTTCTTTTAAAATATCACTAATATTTTTATTTTATTTTATTTTATTTCATAAAAATATATAATTATAATAATTAAATATATTATGATGACATTTTTATAATTTGAACATTCAAATTAATAATA